GTGTGTGTGTGTTGGATGGTATGTGGTGTTCGTGATATGTGGTGTGTGTGGTGTGTGTTACATGGTATGTGATGTGTGTGAGGTGGTGTGCTGTGCTGTGTGTGGTGTGGTGTGTGTGTGATGTGTGTGGGTGTGTTGTGTGCTGCATGGTGTGTGGCATTTGTGGTATGGTGTGTGTTAATGTGATGTGTGTGGTACATTTGTGATGTGTGGTGTGGTGTGTGTGGTGTTATGTGTGGTGTGTGGGTGATGTGTGGTATGTGGTATATGTTGCATGGTGTGTGGTGTAGTGTGGTGTGTGTGGTGTATGTGGGTATGATGTATCTGTCTGTGGTGTGGTGTGGTGTGGTGTGTGGTTAGCAGTGTGTGTTTGTGGATCTTGAGGACCTCTGCCCCTTCTACAGAAGACACATTTAAGGAGAGACAATCGGCTCCCATAAGTGGGGACCAGCAGTTTAGATGTTGGCTCTATAAGACAAAATTTTATTTTTTAACTCCATGACTACACAATTAGAAGACAGTACTCACGATGTGTCGTGCTGCAAACACGCCGTCGACTACCGCACAGCAGAATGCTGCCACCACACCAAAGCTGATAAACACAATTGCAGCTACCAACTGCAACAAAAGAAAGGCTTTAGGTTCCCCAAATTTAACAAATGCATTTTTTCAAATCCAAACCAATTCAAAGCCCTAACTTGATATCAGGATTTCCTTTAGCAGAAATCCTGGGTGTCACACTTCCACTAGCCCTGGCCAGCGTCTATCCTGAGCAGTCTATCCAGAGGCTCTGCTTTGTCCTCCTGCACCAGGGCAAAGCAGACTTCACCAGGACCAACAGGTCCTGAACGCTCAGCTAGCAACAACAGGATGCCCTCTTCACAGGAGGCCCTGTGGGTCCCCAGCCCTCCTGGTCCTCCTCCGAGGAGCCTTGAGTGCAGGCTGTGCAGGCAGCTGCTGTGTCTGTGCCCGTTCACACACACAGTGCATGTAAGCACTTGTGGCTGTCCCCGTGCCCAAGTCCAGGGCTCTGTGGGCCAGCTCTGGGTGGAGAATCTTCTAATACTAACATGCAGCGCAGCTAAGTGGAGGGAGCAGAGGCATAGGCTGCGCTGCATGTTAGTATTAGAAGATCACTAGTACTTAGGAAATGTGGTTAAAGGCAAGACACGTCCTGCCCTGTCACTCTGAAGTTCTCTCCTTGGGCAAAGAGCTATGAAAAAATAGCTGGCAGAAATTATCCCCAGCTGGGATTTCCCATGTGTTGCTGTGATGAAAAATATAGGAAAATGGGCATACAGAGAGGACTCAAGAGGCAACTCCTCAGATTTCCCCATAGGCAGCCGGGATAATGAGAAGGCCTGACCCTGGGTACCCGCCATCCTGCAGTTCTTGCTCCTTGAGGAACTGGTGCAGTCAGGAGGCGGCCCTGTCCCCCCAGCACCAGCAGGGAGAGAACAGTGCCACTCCTACCAACTGCTCCTATGGTAGGGGCAAGGCCCTGCCATGCCCAGCCCCCCAGAAGGGACACTGTGTCCCAAAGAGCACCCACTGTTTTCTGTTGGGTATAATTTCCAGGCCCAGAGACCTAAAGGTGAAATCCTGTTACTCAGGGCAGGCCCTCTAAGCTCCTGACTGAGGCGCCTTGTCTCAACTGTGTCAGGCAGGGGAGGCAACCCTGTAGTTTCTGGCTGACCTTCCCAGGGTTAGTGAGGGGAAAGCATTTGTTTAGACCACAGTGCCTGATACCACGGGTGAGGCAGGGCCAGAAAGGACACAGCTGTCATTCCAGGAGTCTGAGCACAGCCCGCATCCCATCCCGGACCTCACTGTCGCATGATCTCAGGAGGGGCAGCCTGCTGGCTCAGCCTCGCCCAGCTGCCTCACTGCACCCAGTGAGTGCAGGGTCCTGGCTAATGCGGGGGAGAGGGGAAGAAGGCATGGCCCATGCTCTGGGTACCTTCTTCTCAGAGGGCTCCTCAGCTCACAGTCTTGGCACCCTGCCTATCCCTGGGGCTGCCCTCCTCTCCTCAGTGTGCCCGAATCGCTGCTTACATTCCCCAGGGTTCCTCTCTCCTCCAGGGCCCTGCAGGTCTGGGCCAGCAAGGCCCGGCAGGAACCACCTGGCAGTGCCTCCAGGAGTCTCCATCTGCCCAGGCACACACCCTAGGCACTAGCTTGTCTCAACTGCCATACAGGGGAGGTGCCAGCGTAGCTTCTGGCTAACCCTCCCAAGGTTAGTGAGTCCAGAGTGGGCTGTAGGCAACGCAGAGGCTCTGCTTTGTCCTCCTGCACCAGGGCAAAGCAGACTTCACCAGGACCAACAGGTCCTGAACGCTCAGCTAGCAACAACTCAGCAGCCCTCAACAGGCCTTACAGAGCAGGAGAGGCTCTAACCCAGCGTGGGCAGGACACAGCCCTGGACAGATGAGACAGTCAAATTTTATTTCCACCCATAATGTCACAGAAAGCACAACATTTTCATAGTGTCCTTTAAAATCTCAAGGCTTGCCTACCCTTGTCTGGATGCTAACACTGATTTAGTAACACACACTCCCAGCATCCCAGATGCCCTCACCAGCTCTGGCCAGCTCTGCCCTGCTGCCCATCTTCCCACACCAGCCAAGCACAGGGATAGTCACAAACATGTTGTGGCTTGAGAGCGTCCCGGGGCTTCAACCCCAGAGTCCAGTAGGCAGTGCTGGAAAAGATGCTGGGAACCACCTCCTCCAACACTCAGATAGACAGGTCAGGAGAGTGGCCTCTAAGAGCCTCCTGGGGCTCCTGTCACTGTCCTGCTTTTCCTTCCAGGCATTGCTGACTTGTTCAGATGTTTTGGGAGGGACCTAGTGAGCTTAACAGTGTAAAGCGCGAGGAACACAGAGCAGGAAGCCACCAGCTCCCTGGCAGAAGCAGCCGAGTCACTCCCCACAGCCCTGACAACCACCCACCCATAGCAGATGCAAAGAGAAACGTTCCCTAAGTGGCAGAGGCGCCAGGTCAAATGGTGTGGATGCATTTCACTGCATTTGGTGGGGGTCTTTTCCTGGGAGAAGGACATCATGCTGTGACTTGGGAGCAAGGTCACCTTCAAGTCTCTGCTGCTGAGTTTATATTCCACAGGGGAAGGTAGATACCAAACAAAAGCCGGAATGCAAAGGCATGGTGATAAGCAGAGAAGAAAGTGTGAGTACAGAGGTCATAGAGTGGGGACAGGACCACACATGTCCAGGCATTCCAGTAGAGACTCAACAAGGCAGAGCACCCACCCAGACAACAGCAGCAGAGGCGCTAGTCCTAGGAACAACAAAGGGCCGGTGTATTCAGAGGCTGGTGTCGGGGTAGGCCCAAGGCAGGAGGGACAGAGAGAGCAGATCAGCAGTGGGAACAGGATTTCCGGCAGACTTGCCCTGGGTTGAGCTCGCACCTGGGTGGGCGGGGGGGACAACAGGGAGAAGCTGAGGCACGAGGCTGCAGCCGAGGGTGAGGAAGGAGTCAGGCAGAGACGGACGGCTCAGGTGGCCACACAGAGTTGACATGCCCCATGACAACTGGCCGCACACATGGCAAGTTCAGCGCTAGGCAGGTGCACTCAGGACGAGGGAAGACATGGGCCACCAGCCACAAGCAGGGAGCCAGCCCTGAGTTACCTTGTCCCACAACACTGCCCCAGGCCCTCCTGTCCACGTATCTCACATCTGACTGCTCCTCCTTGAGAACTCCCGCCACATCCCTTCTTCTCCACAGGTCCCCTCCCCATGTGCCTCCTCTCCTTTGTCACCCAGCCTCCTCCTGGCCCCTCTGGATCTGTGTCTGGTATGCCCAGGACACCCTCAGCCCCTTCTCTTTCAGTTCTTTCCCCTACGGGCTAAGCAGGGCCTTAATGCCACCCCTGCAGGCCCCTCCTTACCCCATATCGCCCCCTTTAGACCCTGTCCTGCACCTCCCTAAAAGCTCCGACTATGTCTCATGCCTCAGCATTTCTGTAGCCAACATTCCCCAACCACTATGTTTCCCTGGACCCCTGAAGATTCTCACTTCTGCTCTCAGGGACCCTCCCCAGGCAACTGAGCCCCATACTGCAGCCCCCCCAACCAGGGCCCTGGCCCCTCTAACCCAGCCTGGACCTCCTCCCCAGTTTGCTCTAGGCCATACGCAACACCTAACCTGGCTCCTGCCCACCCTGACCTCCTCAATCAGGCCATACTCCTTCCCCACCCCCAGCTCTCCCAAGATGCTCACACCCTGATGATGACCCTCCTGCCCTGGATGGTTATCCCCCAGTCCTACCTCCAGGCTCAAGGCCTGGGTCAAGGATCATAGCCCCAGGGAGACTCTCAAGCACCTCACTCCTCCTTTACTTCTCAGAGTCTCCTGCAATTCCAGATTACCTCCACTCCAGGCGATAGCAGCACTCTGCAGGCCTGTCCCCACCTCACCCACACCACTGCATCAACCTGGCACTTACTGCAGCCCATGCCTGCAGGCTCAGTCCCGAGAACATAAGGACCCCAGAAAGACCCCCCCCCCAGACCACCCTGTGTCCTGCCAGGCAGCTGCACTGGCAGGACAGCTCAGGCCCTAGCCCTTCTGCTATGTACCCTCCCATCGCTCAGCAACAGAACACTCTAGAAGCCTCTTCCTGGAAGCTCTCCTCCCCTCCCTCATGCACCCCCTCTCCTTGAGAGCAGACCCCAGGTGGAGCTGGCCAGTGCAGCCTGAATTCTCATCCTACAGCGCTGCCAAGGTCACTGCTGTCTGCCTATGCTAACCAGAGGGCACTTTCAGGCCCAGCAGACCTGATTCAACTTGAGCCCTGGACTTGATGACCATAGCTGGACAGGAGCACTGTGCCTGCCCTCCAGGAAACAGTCCTGCAGACTGAGACCTGAACATGATGACCATAGCCAGACAGGAGCACTGTGCCTGCCCTCCAGGACACAGCCATGCAGACCAGCCTACACTTCTGAGTGGTGGCAGTTATGGCTCACTGCTCACCCATTTCTCCAGGCTCCTCCATGACCTGCATCTGCTGAGCTAGCCCTTAAACTATTACACTCAAGAGGCTCTCAGAAGATCTCACACAATCCACCATACAGGCCCCGGCTCAGTCTATAACGTACACCCTCCCCCATCCACACCATACAGGCCCTGGCTCAGTCCACAATGTATACAGCCCCCCATCCACACCATACAGGCCCCAGCTTAGTTGACAATGTATACACACCCCCATCTACACCATATAGGCCCTGGCTCAGTCCACAATGTATGAACACC